TTGGGTTTTTTTTTCCCTTTATAGAACAAAAAGCAAGAACTTTAATATTTTTAATGATTTATTTAATTATGTTGTTTTGTCGGTAAAGATATCTAATTTACTTTTAAATTGCTGAGAACTGAAGTACTGGAACAAAATGAATCAATTGTCTCTAGTGGGAAAAAAAAAACAAATGTTGCAAAACATATTTGTTAGGAAATCTTGTTTTTCACTGTTCTCTAAACCTCATTACATCTGTCAATGTGCATATCACTGGTTAGTAACAGACTTGGCATTTGCTTTGAAAGGTACTATCCATGGGTTGGCGTAACAGACGTGTAGCTTCTACCTCAATGAACAGAGAGTCGTCAAGATCGCATGCTGTTTTCACAGTGACCATTGAGTCTATGGAAAAGATTAACGAGATTGTCAACATCAGGTCCTCACAGCTCAACCTGGTAGATTTGGCAGGTTCTGAAAGGCAGAAGGATTCCCACGCTGAAGGAGTCAGACTAAAGGTCAGTAGACTGATGACCGTCTTAAGAGCTATATAGTTGGCATGTGTGTGGTTTTATTTTTTTTCAAATACATAAGGATTCTTATATGCACCTGTTGGAATCTGTACCAAACGTAAAATTCATTCAAGTATTTTATATACACAAACATGTACATGCAGTGTTTGTTGGCAAAATGATTGCATCAAAGAGTCCCAATTGCATCAAAGAGTCACAGTTGTATTTAACCCTTAAAGGGACACTATAGGGTCAGGAACACAAACATTATAAATGTAAATAATGTTAAAAACACCATCTAGCCCCTCAGTAACTCTAAATACACTAAAATCTTACATTTATTCCAGTCTGTTGGTGCTGGCTCTGCCTCTGATCTACCAACCTGGCTAACATTATCAGAAGTGATGATCTGAGTAAATACAATGGGAAAGCATTGGATTGGCTCAGATTGTAAAGAAGGAAGATCAGGGGCAGAGCCAGCACAAGCCAAACATAGCCCTGACCAATCAGCACCTCCTCATCTAAATGCATTGAATCAATGCATCTCTATGAGGAAAGTCCAGTGTGTCACTAGAGGTATCCCTCGGCTGTAATGTAAACACTGCTTTTTCTCTGGAAAAAAAGTGTTTACTGCAAAAAGCCTTATGGAACTGATTATACAATAAGCTGTAATTGTTCTGGTGACTATAGTGTCCCTTTAAGGCCAGAGATAATTGTACAAGCATTTGAGCTATGTTTGTTCAACCGATATCAACCTCTTTCTTTCATACTATGTGCACCAACTTATGTCATTTTGTTCATGAGAAATAGGGCTTTAATGCACATCAAATATTTATATATGAAACATTTAATATGAATAAAATCTAAAACAAATGTGATAAATTAAGAAATCTTATTTTCTTAGTTCTGCGTGGCATTTTAACTATGAATGTCCTATACTGTTCCCTTTTATTTGTATGGTGTGATGTCCCCAGAGTACAATAATGCCATATAC